TAAAAATATATACACTCTGCTAGATGTGAAGATATTGTACACCTTAAATTTAGAAATTTATCCTAGAAATCAGCCACTAGGTCTTCATTTGTGTAGTAATAAATTGTATGGATTTGTAAACATGCTTGTTGCATCTATCTCAAAAAGTAACCAAAGTGTCACATTCAACAACTGGTTCACTAGATAACCACTGACATTACACTTGCTAAAAAAGAAAACAAAAAAACACCAGCTGACTAGCACAGAAACTATTTACAAGAACAAAGCAGAGAGATTCTTGGAAAAATGCTGTATGTTCACAATACAGAAATGTATGGTATAATCTTTGGATTTCAGAAAGGCATACCATTGGCGTATATAGCAAAGAAAAACAAAGCAGTATCTACACTGTCAAGCTACCTGATGATGGTAAGATTGATACTGAAAACAGGAGAGGTGGTGCAAGGAGAGGCTGAGGAAGGAAGATCCTGTGAATTCAAGGCCAGCCTGGATGACATAATGAGATCCTGTCTCAAAAACAAAAACAAAAAAATACAGTGAATCCTCAATAAAATAACAAAAATAGTCACTTTATAACACAATGAAAGGCACAGGAGACAACTGTTGATGTTATTCATCCATGCAACTGTGATTTCACTTGAAACACAAAGTGTTGGCCAGTGTTTGTATTTTACTCGATCTTAAACGTGTCAGGCATAAATAGCTTCATAGTTTACAAAGCAAATAATAAGCACAAGATATTGTGGAGAAATTTTCTTAGAGAATTGGAACTGGAATTGATAAATGATCAATTACAACAGAAGAATAATAGTGTGATATACCCAAAGAATGCCACGAAAGAGTGCTGGAGCAGCCTGTGAACAGACCGTGAAACATCACAAGAGCCTGATAAGAGCGCAGGAAGATAGCAAGAGGTCAACTATGTCCTCGTAAAAAAATCGAAGCATAGGTGCTATTTTTGTAAGCAATATTTGTGTATGAAACACACTTTTCACGTGTGAAAATTGCCTTAGGTATGATAGTTCAAGTAAAGATATTTTTGTGGTTGAGTTTCATTTGTATTTTCATTGCAGTTCATTTAGGAATTTGTTATTTTTTAGATTTAGTAAGCAAATGGTTGATGAGGAAAATGTTGATGCTTATTCTATACATTCAGTATATATTTGATGTTTTATTTTGTAGGTCTTATTTCCTTGCTAAGTATATAACTGTATAATAGGAACCTCCTGACAAAATAGGAGGACAAGAAAGGTGAGAAGGACGGCCTGCCAAGACACAGGAAAGCAGAACACACATGCTGCCTGGGTAAGCAACATGTGGCTAAGGAACATGCCATTTGCATGAGTGGAAGACTACCTCGGGTGTGATAATTCAGGAAAAGATTACTTCTGTGGTCAAAAAATATGTGTATATATATGTATGTATGTATATATATATATGCATATATATATATATATATATATATTTCATTGTAGTTCATGTAGGAATTTATTTCTATTGCTATTTTTTGGATTTTGTAAGCAAGTAAACAGTTGATTTGAAAACACTGATATTCATTCTAAAAACTCATTAGATATGAAAAATGTATTTTATTTTTTGCAGAACTGGAAATTGAACTCAGACCCTTGTGCTTGCCAATGCTTATTCTACTGAGCCATTTCCTCGATCCCCAAAATTTAATACTTATTGATATTCTAATTTGTTAAGTTAATACTTATTGATATTCTAATACATTTCAAAATATAATAAAACTCATAAAATTAAAATAAATAACTCATCTTTAGAAGTACCACTAAAATTAGCTGGGCGTGGTAGTACATGTCTGTTATCTCAGCACTTGGGAGGCTTGAGACAGGAGGACTGTTGTGAGTTTGAGACCAGCCTGGGCTATAAAGTGAGTTCAAGACCAGCCTGAACTGCATAGGGAGACCCTACCTCAAAAAGACAAAAAAAAAAAAAAAGACAAAACAGAAATACTCCTAAAAAGTAAACATGGATATTTTACACCCATTGAGGTGCTCTTTTTTAAAAAAAATTGCCATGGCATCCTGGGGGCTTCAAGAACACAGATGGAACTGGTTGTGGTTGCGCATGCCTGTAATCCCCATACTCTGGGACTCTGAGGCAGGAAGATCATCAAATTCAAGCCCAGCTTGAACAAGTGAATGATACATTGTCTCAAAATAAAACATAATAGGGCTAGCAATTCAGTGTGAGGACCCTGGGTTCAATCCCCACTACAACCAAAAGTGGAAAAAAAAGTAAACAGAGAAAAGATATACCATGCTGACATTCATCAAAAAAGTGAAAGTAGTTATATTAATTGCAGACTAAGTACACTTCAAAACAAGGAAATTTATAAGGGACTAATACAGGCATTACATAACAACAAAGGGGTCCACTCTCCAGGAAGGTATAACAGTCCTTAATGTGCAAGAAAAAAATGAATAAAAATAAAAAGTAAAAATTATAGAAAAGGATAGACGGTAAGATACAAAAATCAGTTGCTGTCTTATACGCAGTAATGAATAAGTAGAATTTGAAATTAAAAACATACCATTTACAATAAAGCCTCAAAAATCAAGTACAATGGTTGATGCAGAGTGTCAACTTGAGAAGTCTAGAAACTTAACTAAGTAACTCAGCAGTCCTGTATCCTGGGTACAGAGAACACTTTACTGCTCTAGGATGTCGTGGATTGTGTCAACTTGAGGTTAGAAGCTTAAGGAAGTGCCTCAGCAGGGGCCAGGGTCCTCACCTGTGACATGCTCAACCTGAGCAAGAGCAGGGCAGGGACCCGTGTGAGTGCTACACCTGACCGGGGCGGCCGCCTGCTTAGGAAAGGAGGAGGGAAAAGAGGCTTGTCGGCCGGCGCGTCTGCTTGCCCTGCTTCTGTTGTCTTCCATAGCCGTGAATGTCGCCCTTCAGCCAGGCCACCCTGCCTTGGAGCCAGCTCATTATGTACTGAAACCTCCACAAACTGTGAGCAAAATAAATCCCTCCCTCCTTAATGTGGGTGTCATGTGCTTTGTTTCAGCAATGAGGGAAAATAAGTAACACATGAAGGCTGCAGAATAAGTGTGCACAAGATATGTATGAGAAAAAAAATACAAAAACTTGATGAAAGAAATCAAGAATGATGTAAGTAGAGAGGCTTTCCATGTTATGGATAAGAAGGCTTCACATTGTTTAGACGTTCATTTTTCACAACTTGACGTAGACAGGAAATGAAACCCTAGCAAGTTATTTTGTGCATATCAACAAACTGATTCTAAAGGTTCTATGGAAATATGAGAAACTCTCAATAACCAGCTTAATACTGAAGAAGAACAAAGTTGGAGGAGCGACACTAACTTCAAGAGTTACTGTAAATGTACAGTAAGAAAGCCACTGTGCTGTGGACAAGAATAAACAAATCTATGGACAGAAGAGAAAAATCTATAAATAGACACAAATAAATAGAATGAACCAATTCAACACAAAGAAACAAAAGCAATATAATATGGGAAAAGAGTGTTTTCAAGAAACCATGTTGGAACAATGGAAAATCCACATGCAAAAAACTGTATCTAGGGGCCCGGGAGATAGCTCAGTAGAATAAGTGCTTACCTGGCAAATGCAAGGGCCTGAGTTCTACCCTGGTTCCAAAAAAAAAAAAAAACTCCCAAAGAAACCTGTACCTAGACACATGTCATACATTCTTAAGGAAAACTGACTCGAGAGAAGTTATAAGCCTAAATGTAAAATGCAAAATCATAAAACAACTAAAAGATAACACAGGAGAATCTTGATGACCTTGCATTTGGCAATGACCTCATATACAATGGAAAAAACATGATCCATGGAAGAAAGAATAGTCTGGTCTTCATAATAAAAATTTCTGGTCTGTAAATGACACTGTCGAGAAAATGAAAAGGCGGAAAACAAACTAGGAAAAGCACCTAGAAAAGATATTACCTGATATGTTCTGTTTAATGAATGTTCCATGTGAGCTTGAAAAGAATATATATTCTGCTGTCTTAAAACTCATCAATAATAAAACAAGAAATCTCATTTTTTTTTCTTTTTTTTTTAGAAATCTGATTTTGAAAACATTTTAAAAATGGACCAAAGACTTTGACACCTTACTAAAACATATATACATGGCATGGGGAGATAGCTCAGTAGAATAAGTGCTTGTCTGGCAAGTGCATGGTCCTGAGTTCAATCCCCAGTATCGCCAAAAATAAATAAATAAATAAATAAATAAATAAAACAAAACATATATACAGATGGAAAATGCCCCATGCACACATGGCTGATATAACTTCAATAAGGTTTCCAAGAATAATGGACAGAGAAAAGACAGTCTCTTCAGTAAGGTACTGGGAAATTGGAATGTCCACATGCAAAAGAATGAGATTTGATCAAAAATCAACTGAAATGAATTAAAGACTTAATTATAAGATATCAAACTGTAAAATTATAAAAAATAGGAGAAAAGATTTATGGTATTATTATTAGCAATGATTTTAAGGACATGACACCAAATGCCCAGGCAAAAAAAGCAAAAATGGACAAGTAGGATTATATTCAAAAAAGGTTTCTGCACTGTCAAGAAAATAATCAACAGAGTGAAAAGTCAACCTTAGGAATGGCAGAGAATACTGAAAGCCATATGGAAGAGGTTACTTAAAGAAATAGAAAAGAACTCCTGCAATAGCCCAAAAATGAAGAAATAATAAAAAAAATAAAATTGGTAGCCCAATTTTAAAAAGGAACAAAGACTTGAATAGACATTTCTACAAAGAAAACAACAAGTAGCCAACTTGTATATGAAAAGATGCTCAATGTCGCTAATTATCAAAGAAATGCAAATCAAAACCATTACCTATTAGGTTGTTTTTTATGTTGGCAAATGTGAAGAAATTACAGGGCTGCACAGTTGGTGGAAATACAAAATGATGAATCGCTGTGAAACAGCACGGAGGGGCCTCAAAAATCAGTAAGTAGGCAAGTACCACAACGATGCAGCAATCTGCTTCTGGGTATTTCTCCATAAAACTGCAGTCAGGATCTTGAAGAGATGCTAATGCTCCAGCGTTCACTGCAGCACCATCCACGCCAGTCAAAATGCAGAATCAGTCTGTATGCCCAATGATAGATGAATCGGATTTTTAAAATGTGGTGTACACATGTAAAGGAATATTATTCAGCCTTTAAAAAGAAGGAAATTCTGACACAGAGGAACCTTGAGGACATTATGCTAAGTAAAATAACCCAGTCACAGTAGGCCAAATAGTGTACGACTCTACTTACATGAGGTATCTAAAATAGTCAAACTCAGAGTTATAGGGTAGCATTATGGTTGTCAGGGCACGAGGAAGTGCCAACCATTGGCCATGAAGTCTCGGCCACGTACACTGAATCAGTTCAACAATGTTTCTACAGTTAGTAGTACTGTATTATAACAGTAAATTTTAATTTAAGACCTCATATTAGGTATTCCTATCACAATAATCTAATTTTTTAAACAGATAAGAAAAAGTTCAAGCTGTGTACAGTGGCACATACCTGTAATGCATGCACTCTGGCGGCTGAGGCAGGAGGACTGTGAAGTTCAAGACTAGCCTTGCCTACACAGCAAGATCCTGTCTCAAACAACAACAATATGAACAACAACAGAGGAGATATACGCAGCCAATAGGCATATGAAAAGATATTCCACAACATAAGTCATTACAGAATTGCAAAATAAAATGAGATATCACTATACATCTATTAAATGGCCAAAAGCCAGAATATTGATAATACCAAATCCTGACAGGTGGAGAGTCAAGAACGCTTACTACTGCTGAAAATGCAAAAGCTGCCACCACTTTGGAAGATAATCGGGCAGCTTCTTTCAACACGTTACCATCTGATCCAGCAGCCACGCTCCTGGTGGCGAGGCGTGCACACTGCCAGACATAAGCAGTGAAGGTGTCCTTCAGTGGGGGAGTGAAAATCAAAATTAAGCAGTCGTTAAGATAGGGAAAAATAATGTGTATTGCTAAATGAAAGAAGTATCTTGATGTATGTTGGTGTGACAGTGTGGGGTGGGAGCGGAGGGTGGTACTGAGGATTGAGCTCAAGGCCTCTGGACTGAGTTATAACCTTAGCATTTTTTATTTTTTTAAAATTTTTTACATTTTTTTTAAAGTTTATTTATTTTTATTATTTTTTATTTTTTTGTTGGAACCGGGGATTGAACACAGGCCCTTGCACTTGCCAGGGAAGCGCTTATTCCACTGAGCCATCTCCCCAGCCCCTCCTTAGCATTTTTTTTTTTTAAATATCTTTGACTTAGAGACAGGGTCTTGCTAAGTTGCCCAGACTCCCAAACTGAGCAATATATCTTAAGTATCTAACATACTGTGTGATTCCAGCTTTAAAACATTTTGAAAAGAAGCAAAACTATGGAGATAGTAGGATCAGTGATACCTGAGGCTGGCAGGAGGGGGCAATGTTATGGCTGTCTAGACGTATCCCAAGCCTCAGGCAGTCTTAGGTGGTGCTTTTTCAGAAGTGTCTGCATCTAGGGTGTGCAACATGAGGAGTGACTTACGGTTAATGCTGAGATCAAGGACATTAGGATTAAGGGTGTGAGTGCTACCTGCCCTGAGGGAGGTACCCTGGATAAGATAGGAGACAAAGAGAACTTGGTTTCGTGGTTGCTCTGCTACTTTCTGCCCACCATGGACTATTTCTCCTCTGGGTATCCACCTTGCCTTGAAGCAGCCAATTATGGATTGGAACCCTTTGTACAGAGCAAAATGAACCTTTCCTCCTTTAACTTAGGGTGTCAGGTATTTTGTCTCAGCAATGAGAAATGTAACACAGGAAGTGAGTAGATTCTGCAGGGTACCGCAGGGTGGATCCACACCTACACACAGCATAGGCCTAGACAGCACACATCAAAGAGCCCTAAAGTAAACTACAAGCTTTGGACAACACTGATGTCAATGACAGCTACTTACCAACAAAACACCAACCTGACAGGGAGAGCCGACAATGGGAGAGGCTAGGTAGGTGATCTGTGGGCAATTTCTGTAGACTGGGCCCAGCGGGAGAGGAACAACAGCAGGAACAACAATGGAGTGTGGAGGAGGTGGGCAGAGAAGTAGATTCAGGGCCAAGGCTGACGCTAAAAATTTCACACTAAGGCTCAGGCTAGGAGGGTTCTGAAGTCAGGGCAGCACCTCAGGGAGCAGGCACCACTGAGGGAAGTGTTCAGCAAAATGGAGAGGCAGGGGCCAAGGAGGACCACAACAGCAGCATGTTGGGTGGCCAGACAGACCTGCCTTCCTCAGAGAGGTGAGAGAGAATGAGAACTGGGAGCCCCAAGCAGTAGCAACCACACAACCCAAGGGCAGAGGATGACTGAGAAAGGAGGGAAGAGATGTGCTGGGAAGACACATTTTTATACACAGCTTCCTATAAGCCCAGCAGCTAAGGAGGTAAGTATTCTGAGTGAAGGATGGGCTTAGAGAGACTGTTTAGAACTCTAGCCAATGAGGAGAAATAAATTCGGGAAAACAATGAATTTAAAATACAAAGGAGGGCCTGCGACATAGCTCAGCGGACTACAGCATCTGCTTAGGCAAGCTTAGGCAAACACAGGGACTGTGGTTCAGTCCCCAACACCACACTGCACCTGCCTTGCCCTCAGGGCAGGCTAAGCCACCCATCGAGTCCAGGCACAGTGGCACATAATTGTAATCCCAGCACTGCAAAGGCTGAAAGCTGGAGGATCACTATGAGTCCAAGCTGCATAGTGAGATCCTGCAACAACCAAATATGTTACAAAAAAAAAAAAAAAAAGAGGAGCCAGGTGTGATGGTACATTACTGTAATCCCAGCAGGCCCTCCTTTCTAATACCTGAGTAGAGTATTTCCATCCACTTCTCAACATGTCTTGCCCTGCCAACATTGTTAGCTCAGGCACATGTTACCTCCTGCCTGGACACCTAACTTTCCAAAATCTTCTTGGCACCCAACCTTACTGTCCTCCAACATATCCTCCAAAATAAGCCTAAATGATAACTCTAAAATCCCGACCTCGTCAATTGAATGTTAAATACTTTATGGAGCTACCTGCCTGCAGGATGAAGTCCCAGCTCCTTGGCTGGGAACATAACAGCCCTTCCCAGAGGCTCCACCTCTGCCCTTCTCTGCGAACACCCTCATGCTCCTCTCAAACTGGACTCCTACAAGGTTCTCAATGTGCCTTGCTCTTCTTGGCTTCAGTGTTTCCTCCCCTGTTGAGTACCCTCTTCCATTCAGAACTCAATGCCCATGATTTTCCCCTTTGGGAAGCCTTCCTTGCCCGCTGCCCCTCCATCAGGCTGGGTGAAGGATATGACTGTGCTCCCAGAGCACCTGTCCTGCTCTCCTGTCATGCTAGCTGACAGGGTCTGTTTGTGGCCTGTCTCCATAGCAGACACTGAGCTGTGAACTACCAGGCCACAGACTATCTGCTGGTTATCAGTTTATCTCCTGGCCTGATCCCAATGCCCATTATGTAGAATAGGGAGGATGTCATGTTCATCCCTGGGCCCCTGGACTCATCGTAATGTTAAAGCACAGCAGGTACATATGCAGAGCAATGAATGCACGGGGCACTCTACTGGCTCGAGTCCAGGCCTCAGATTACACACCGACACTTGCTACCTGTACACTCATTCAGTGCCAAAATGTTTGTACGACATGAATAGATAGCAAGTAGACATTTTTCTGACATGTATAGAAAACACACTAAGAATAAGGTTGCCATAGGAACATCTGTAAATTGAATTTCCAGAAGTTGGGACAGCCACCTTCTACCTGGCAGCATTTGCTCTGGAATTAAAGGAAATTTAAATCCTCATCACCACTTACTACAAGTCATTTCACCTTCCTGGGCCTTTGCTTCCTGACCAGAGAAACAAATCTTGGGTTTCAAAAACCCACAAGTGGAAACAGTTTGCTACGTTTATACACCAAGTTTGAAAAAGGTTGAATAAGAAGGCATCTGGAAAAAACAAACTAGGCCACGAGTATGTCTCCCAAGTGCACTTTAATATAGTTATACATAAAGTTAATGGTGGACATGGGTTAAAATAATATAGTAAGTTGCTCAAAAAACATTTTTTGAGGAAATTATGCAGACACAAGATAAACAGTATGAAAAAAATAATTCCGCAATGCTTTGTTGTCCTATGCAATCAGAATTTTTAAGTTGCTGGCTTCATGTAGCCCTTTCCTAAAATACAATTTCATAAAATAACACATTTTGGCCTCGTACCTGGCAACATCATACATTTGGGGATACTGTATCACTACACATAAATATCTATATCATTAAATATCAATCATATCTTAATTTTAATGTTTTTATAATCACTTTGATCAAATACAGTTTTTTAAAAACCTCAACAAAAACATCTTCAGTTTTCCATGTTCAGTTATAGGAACCTATCTGAGCCTTGGAAACTGAATATACCGTGCACTTCACACAGGCTTTCTCCTACTTCTACACTTGAAAGAACAGCATGCAGAAATACTTGTAGTTTTTTCGTTTACCCAAAGTAATGTCTTCGTGACGTTTCTTAGCCACCAGCTTGGTGTGTAATCTCATGAGTACATTCTGTATGTAGCTTTTTAGCTACATGTGATTTTTTTATAGCTTCAATTTTTAAGCTCTTTCATAAGAGCTCTATGTTCTTTTGTTATTTTAAGCTTAAAATAAAGGGTCTTGACACTGAGCAACATCCCCAGCCTACATACCCATATACTGAAATTGAAAAATTACACCTTTAAAGAGTCCTGCCTTGTTTCTGATGAGCTCCTGAACCACAACACTGTAAAATATACTTTCGGGCAATGACACACCCTGTCAATGCCCCAAGAAATTTGAGCAAGACCAGATTCTACCCCATTTACAGCAATGCGCACTGCAGTTCATTTCCCTCTCTGTCTTTTGTCTTCTTCCCTATCAGACATATTCTTCAGAATTCAAATTCAAGCCTGTCATTTGCTGCTTCACCTCCGGTGGTTTCTCTCTTCCTGAAATCTGGGATCCTAACAATGCGTAATCACGTTGGATCTTAGTTCCATTTTACAT